CTCTCTCTCTCTCTCTCTCTCTCTCTCTCTCTCTCTCTCTCTCTCTCTCTCTCTCTCTCTCTCTCTCTCTCTCTGTGTGGGTCTCTCTACCACCACGACCCATGTCAACCCTCCATCCGCTCATCCCGATTGATTCCAGATTGTACATTCCCACCCATTGCGACCCTCCACCTCCTCTTCCTCCTCGTCTCACACCTCCTCCTTCTTGGCTCTCTCATCTCACACCTTGTCCTCCTTCTTGCCCTTCTCCTCCTCCTCCTCCTCCTGGCTGCTCACATTCGTCTTCCCCCGAACACAAAGCACATTGTCCTCCTCCTCGATCGTATCCTTCTTCTCCTCTTGCATCGAAGTGCCCTGCTTGTCCAGTGTCTTCCACCTTCCTTCTGCTTCTTCTGCTGCTGCTCCTCCTCCATCGTTCCTCCCCGTGCTCCTCCTCCTACATCATAGCCTCCTGTCCCTCCTCGTCCGTAGCTTTGTCCTCCTCCTCTTTCATCGGAGCAAAGCCATGTCTGAGTTGTCTCCCTCCTCCATCGCAGCGTCACCGTCCTCCTCTTGCATCCGAGCGAAGCCTTGTCTTCCTCCTCCGCTGTAGTGTCCTCCTCTTCCTTGTGTTCTTCCATCATCCTCCTTCTTGATCATGGCCTTCTCCTCTTGCACTGAAGCGTCCTGCTCGTCCATCCTCTTCCACCTTCCTGCTCGTCCTCCCGTTGCTCCTTTCCTCCTCCTCCTCCATCGCAGCCCCTTCCTCCCATCCTCATCATAGTTGTCCTCCCCGTCCTCTTCCTTCATGTTGCTTGTTGTTCTCCTTCTCCTACTCCTCGTAGCGGTCGATGTCTCTTGTGGCATCTTCTGGATGGTGGCCTTCAAACAACGACAGGGATGGGAACCGCAAACCGTTCCTGCAAACTCCATGCCCTTTCACACTCCACCTCTTAGGAGCAGCGGGAAGAATTGTGCCCAACAAAGCCCTGGGGAAAACAAAATTGCTGCAGTGCTATGGCCACGGCTATGTATCTGTATTCGAACATGAGACAGCTCCAAAACAGCGGCCAGAAAGCCCCGGGGGAAAAGTTTGCCGCAGCCCGCAGCGCTCTGGCCGCTGCTATGCATCAGTATATGAACACGAGGCAACTTGGACCCTCGCAAATGCTGGACAGCCCACCCGCTCCTGCTCCCTCCACGAATGTTTGTGGGCCCGCCGGAAGCGTCATGCGAGGACCGTAAGGAAAAAACAAAAAGTGTGGAGATTACAACAGATTGAAGTACTGGCCCAGAAGCGCCTTGCAGCATTGATTACCCTGGGACGACCCGGGGGATTAAACCACCAACACGTTTCACAACCATTTTTCGGAAGTCATGGCTTGCATGCTGCCGCAACTTTGGAGGCTCGGCCGGCAGAGCAAAATGGCTGGCGGCACCAGCCAAAAGGAGGCCTACACCGGTTCTTTTTTCTTTGCCATGCAGCGCGTTTCCAGCCCTGGAGAAAAGTGCCTCGGAAGTACTGGTGGTTTAACTGCCAGGGGCTCTGCAAGCAGACAATGCGGGAGCCTGGAAACTCGTTTCGCATTGCCGCCAACGCCAACGTATTTTTGCGACGGAAAAAAAAAAGCACAAGGACGCAATTGAACATAGGTCACGGCTGGAAAAGCCCTCGCCAGAGGGCACTTTTTCGGTTTCCGTGGTCTGTCCTGGAGAGTAAGGGAGGGGGGAACCTCTTCCTATGCCAACAGAGGGTGGAGGCGGTTGCTCCACATGTGACTGGAAGAGTGCCAATGGAGGCAGGCCATGATTGGCTACTGCGTCTGGACTAAAGTCGCACAGCAGCTTTCACCGGAGGTGCTGGGGTCTCCTTCCCATTAGGTTTCCCGCTGGCAACGGCATTCCCTTGCCCTGGACAGGAGGAGACGTTTTTGGGCCGCCGTGTGGTGGGGTCCAGGCCTAAGTTTGGTGTTTCTATATTGCCCGCCACCTTATGAAGAGGCCCGCTTCGCAGCACGTGCTTCTCCCCACGAATAGATTGGAGCAATGTTCCTAAGAAAAAACAAAGAAAAACGGCCCCCTTTTTCTCTGCCGATGGCCTGCTGGGGCGTGTAGGTGCTTTATATGATCGACATAAAACCCGACTGGATTAGCTTACAGAAGGTCGTGTGACAGGTGTGGAACAGCTGTGTGGCGAGGGTGGGAGACTATTTCCGAAATCAAAATCTGAGTAACAAGGGAGGTTATGCTCTCTCTCCATCGGATCAAGGCTGATCCGTATCAAGTTTTTCTTTTCTTGCCTTCATTGTTCTTTTAAACCACCAGTACCTACCAGTTGGGGCGGCCGTTAACGCAGAAGCCGAATCGGCCTGGCCCTCCGGTACAAATTCATTCTAGGCTGGGGGTATGAAAAATGCAGTAGGTACTGGTGGTTTGAAGTGTATCCGTCAGATCTCACAATATCCACCATTACAGTGTGTCACACAAGACCTCCGTAAGCTAATAGCCAGTGGGACCTGACCCCTGGAGAGGGTAAGGGGTAGCTACCCTCCCTGTTGAAGAAGGAGGAACCCAGTTTTTTTTTTTTTTTTTGAGTCCAACCAATTCAATTACCTGTCGAATCTGGACAGGACGACCTTTCATCCCTTTTTTTATTGTCATTATAGTATTACGGGGAACCCCGTAGCAGCCACATCCGTGCTCAAGCCTCCATTGAGGGAACATGTGGGAGCTGCACCCACCAGCAGGTGTGATACCTGCTACAGCAGGTAGGCGATACCGGCCAGGGGTCAGCCGGTAGCATCAGGACCGAGCTTCTTCGATGGGCCAGTCACTGTGCCTCCCCTCCAGTCCCCTCCCCCTGTGAGCATCAGCAGTCTCTGCTCAATGCCACTCGGGGGGACCATCGGCATATCTCTAGGTGGCGGGCGCCAAGCTTGCCCAGGAAGGTGCATGAACCCAGTTATACTTCGCACAAAAACCAGTCTGAAAGGAAAAAAAAAGAAAAAAAAAGCAGTCATTGGCAAAGAGAAAGAGCCAAGCGGGAGCCTCGGCTGATGCAGATACCATTTCAGGACTTCGTTTTTCTTTACCTTTTCGGGGTTAGAAATCCATTGCCTGTCCTTCGGGACATCCGTTAAAATTGGAACGATACAGAGAAGATTAGCATGGCCCTGTCTCTTATACACATCTAGATGTGTATAAG